GATAGCTATGTAATGGAGTGCCTACTCTAAAAAATCCCAACACATCTGAGCCAGCTAATTATAAACACTTCGACGAGCCATGGTATTTTAGTTTACAGAGAGAGTCAAGAATTTCTTTAACTTCCTAACTCTTAGATTTGCTGAACATATTTTTTGATAGTCCCTGATGGTTCCTTTAGGAAGACTGCTGAACTTTGTTCATGAACTAAATAGGGTAAGTAACACAGTGGCAGTGGCTACCAGCTTTTGCTGGCAAAAGAACTTGGTAAAGAAACTTCGTTTTCTTGGGTAATAGACAAGAATGGCTGAAAATATAGACTATGATAGTAACAGAATCTAATACTATAGGCGCATTCCCAAATGTAATGACCATATTTAATTTAAACTCATGCCTTTGAGTGCTATCCATCTTCTGACCTTTATAGGTAACTGTTCATCCATACTTACTCTTCTGAGTGCCTAAATACTAGGAAGATATAAATTATTAAAAATAAGAACAGAATATTTTTTAAAGTTTTAGGAAAGCTTCATTAAGAAAACTTACCCTTTCAAACTCCATGTGTTCCTAATGTGGCTTTACATGATTCAGTACTTGAATCTACCCCTGAAAACATATAACGGCAGGTGGGGAAATACAGCACTGTTACTGAGAAAAATTAGTACTATGAACAGAAGGAATTTGTATGAAACACCACACTACTCTATAGTAGTTTTTCCTGTTCTGTGCTGTTTTTTCTGTCATCTTGTAAAATGTTCTTTGGGACTATAATTCTCTGTGTGAATTTCCCCTAAATAACTGTTATTGGTTACTGTTATTGTTACTGTTTCAATTGTATTATACCCATTCTCAACAAGTGCTTCTGAACTTTAAGATACAGGGGTTACAATAACTTCAATATAGGGTTTTTTTTTGGTTAAAAAAATTACTAGGAATTCCATAAAGTCAATGTGTCTAGAAAACACTAATAACCATGTTTTCTTGGTTTACAGTTTAACATTCCTTTTCCCCTCCTCTGACATCCATACAAAGAAGTTCATTATGCTGAATCCCCTGCAGCTAGTTTATAGACCTACTGAGTATTCTGCAGTGAAGAAAAACAAGCTTTGTTAAAGAGATTATGGCTCTGGTGTTTTAATGATCTGAAATTTTCGCTGTGAATAAATTTTAATTGGACAAAACATTAAATGCAAAAGCGTTGATCCCTGAAAACAGAAGTGCATGTAATATAAAGGTCTGGAAAGAACAAGATCTGAAAATGTAACAAAATGTGTCTTCTAAATTGTCTAGACAAAGTTTCGCTACAAATTTTTGTAGGGGTGAATCTCTAAACATAACTAAGCAGCAAGAAAACTCAAACTTAGGGAGACCTTTCCTTTCCAGTAACTTATTTTTCTGACTACTAGTCATACAGTCATATTATCTAACCCTGTGGCTCCACTGAATTGTCATATAAAGCCTAGTTCCATATGTAGAGCAGCAAAGGCTCTTCCACATACACTCTGCCGTTAGGGTACACCATAGCCATAAACCATATGTTATAGCCAAAACACAAAAGTAGGGGAGGCCAGTTTTTCAATACCAGCACTGAATTCAGTGGGAAGCAGTCATCACTTAAAATTTCTGAGGGTAGGAAACCCAGAAAGCTTTCAGTTATGTAAATATGTTCTACATCAGATCCCCTGTTCTAGGGAATCCGTCTGTAGCAAAACCTGGTATTGCTACTTTTCCCTCTCAGTTTCTGTGGTTTGTGAGTCAGAAGCATTGGTTTTACACCAATACAAAAACCCAAGAAAAATAATTAAGGCAACATTGGTTACTCATATTAAATTATCCATCTCCTTTGTCACAGTGATGACCCAACAAAAACTGATTCGATGTGTCGGGGTGCTGCGAAGGCTGGGGCTCTCCAGGGGCTCCCCAGGATGGGCAGACAGTGGGGCCGGGTGGTGCTTTCAGGGCCAGGACACCATGGCCATCTCATCCTGTGTTGGGTTCTGGCAAGTGTCCATACCAAGACCCTGATTCTCTCCCAGATGCTGTGGTTTCCAATTGCCAGAATGTCCCACATTATTTAACTGAATGGGGACTGTTATGGCTACTAAAGGGCCATGTAAATCTGGGACATCTTTGATGCCTAGCCTACTTCTAATTATTCCAGCTTTGAATTTAACTGGAAAATATGAAAATAATACTCTTGATAAAAGGGAGATATTAAGCACCCATGAAATTCAGCAATGTAGCTGTGTTATCAATGTTAACTTTTCCTAAGAGGCAAGTTCTTTCCTCCATGGACACCTATAAAGACTCTTTATCATATAAACAAAAAGATTCAGGGAGGCACTTGCAGAATGGGCTGCAGGAAGCATTTCTGCACTAGACGTGTGCTGAAATACATACATGAGGTACAAGAAAGCCAATCTGTCCAAAAAACCTGCTCTCAGCAAAACTCAACTTATACTTTAAGTCTGTTGATCCCAGGGTAATTTCTATTTAGCATGGTTTATGCCACTAACTTATTTTTATTTAGGCAAATTGCTTAAGAACTAGGTTTACATGTATGCTTATTGCTGTCTTGCATTGGTAAAACCACCATAGATTTACCTATGTGCATTTTATGTTCTCTCAAGCAAGTCTTTCAGTCTTCTTATGCACAAGGTCAGGCAGAGTTGCTGGGTAAATCTGGGATTCATGTTTGTCTTTCAGAGAATTCAATATATTTGTTACGTTCAAGAGAAGCAATCGAGAGTCCATTGGATGAGCACACCTCTCTTTTCCCGTGTCTTTGCCCACATCTTCATTATGGTTTTAGTCTGTATCAGCATAGACAAAAACAATTCCAATTTTTACATGGGCTAGTTAACATAGGTTTAAAAAATTCCCAGCAAAGCAATGCTGTGATAGTTTATATTATGAAAAAGTTTTTGTGTTTAGAAAGACAACACAGTAGTTAACTGTTGTCTTGCTATTTTTTGAGGCTGAAGTGAAATCACCCTAGGATTACTTAAAAATGTGAAAGGTATATGAATTCAAGTGACTTAAATTTTGACAATGTATCATCCTCTGAAGTTGCTAATTTCATCTTACTTTGGGAAACATTGTTCTGTGTTTAACACAAAAAGGTGTAATATTATTTTAGTCATCCTAACCTTGAGTCCTTTTCATCATACTAGGCATAACCAGAAAAGAACAAAGGGAATAACTGGGCCTCTTCTCAGTGTGACTTTTCTACTTGTTTCATTTTGCTGTCTGCCACTCTTGCTGCTGTTCCATGATGTCTGTAATCTAAAACATGTCTGGGTGTATAGAAATATGAATCCTCAATGAAAACGCTGTGAAGTTAATTCAGGGCAAAGCAAATGGAAAGTTGGACTCATGCTGAAGACCCAAATTCAAATTGGTGGATGTTAAGTTTACTTCTGTTCTTTGCAATCTTCCACAGAAGAGCTTAGCAACACTAAGTTGTGTGTCTTGTAAATATGGTTACCACAATTCCTCTTTGTGTGGCACGCACTTACTTTCTGCCAGATAATTCCGCAACTCATTTCAGCGTTATGCTATAGCTAAATCAAAACCAAATCCTGAGAAGTATATAACAAAAGTTTTAAAACACTTTTCCTCATCTGCCAAAAAAGCTTCAGAATTACAGGAGATGTTTCATTTTGTCAGCCTTGATTACATGACATGTCTCTTCAAGGCGGTCATTTCTATAACCTGCAGTTGAAGTGATTTTAAAACGTTTTCCATCTATTAGAAGTTATTTTGTACATTAGGTCTGGATTTCTCAATCTCAAAATCTGTAAGGACAATCACGATAGGAAGGATGGAGAGAGACTTTCAGTAACTGAAGAGTACCTGTTTCTTTTGTGAGTCAGTTATAAAATTAGAGTAAGATTATCTTGTATGTGCTGAAGTTTATATTGAATTCACTGGAGAAAAAAATAAAGGAATTTGGGATTAGTTATTTGTCATCACATACAGTTGTCATAAATGCACCTAAACCACATCATAGCAAAGCAGGAAGAAATTATTTAATTCATGAGTACGTTTTAGCTCTCAAATCCCTGGTTTCACTTCTTATTTTAGCAAAGTTAATTTTAATTGTATTCAGGTGCTTTCTCAGATACAAATGGGCTTTTAAGGAAATGCTAAGTATTATCAAGAGTTGTAATTTGGTGGGCACTGGCTGTGCAGTTTTCACAGGGAGCACAACGTTTTAAGAGATTCGGTAGGGCCCCATCTACAGCCACAGTAGGCCTCGTGTTAGGATATGGTGGTCTTCCACCTTTAAACCTTGTTCGCTTAAAACTTCGCTTTGTTACTTAAAACAAAGTGATCTTGCTGCCGCAAACTGTAAAACCCATCAAATACC